TGCAGGGTCAGGGCCATGCCTACCTGAGCAGAACCAGATGAGGTCCCTGCGGATGAACAGGGACATGTAGAGCACCCCGTGGGCGGCCGAGGACAGCAGCACGTAGTGGGGGCCCAAGGTCTCCTGCAGACGGGCCTCCCACTCCCGCCTGCGGAGGACAACACACTGGCCTTCAGCCCGCTGCCCAGAGAGCCCCCAGGGAGCGACCCGGGGGTCCCCACAACGGGCCCTAGCTGTCCATCAAGACGGCAGAGAAGCAGGAGGGGTGTTGCGGGCACACCTGGGGCCAGAGGTCGAGACCTGCCAGGTCACGGGCTACGTTCCCGCTCTCACGGCATGAGGAGGGTCCTGGACCCCTTCGGGGACTCTGCTCGGGCTCCTGTCCCACACGGCAAAAGCCCCTCGGCCCCCACTCACAGGCTGGGCGGGGGCAGGGCCCTCTCGCCAGCGTGTCTGGTGCAGGCGGGGAACCTTGGCATGGGCCTGCTCTCTGCTGCCTTTCTACTCTCTTCATCAACTCGTTCTCTCTCTCACTTGTTTACAATCCTCCAGGTCACCATTTGACAGACACTGAGGCGCACGTCCAGCTCGGGCCTGCAGCTGCGTGTGCCCGGCCACGTGTCCGGCAGGGCTGATGGGCAGGGGAGCACATGCTGGCACCCACCTGTCGGAGCAGCCCTCTTGCACCCCGATGACGTACAGGTCCTGGGCGTAGTCGGCCTCGGCAGGGAGCAGGAACTCATCCAGACTCGGTGGGAGCTCCTGGAGGAGGAGCCACCTGGAGTTGGCCGGGGTCTGGGCGGGACCCCGCTGCAGTGTCGGAGGAGGAGCAGGCATCCCTCCCAACTGAAGGGACACTGAGGCCACGCTTAGGAAGCTGCTGCCTGGCCATCGATAACAGCATGGCTCAGTCTCCAAGGCAGCCCTGACACACCGGCTACCGCAGGGCTGGGCAGGCCATGCCTGGCCTCAGTTTCCCTCTCTGAACCATCTCCTGTCTGGCTCTTCCCCTGTGCCTCCTCCAGCTGTCTACCAGGAGCACCTCCCTGCCCTCCATGCACGGACAGGACTCGGCCAGGCTCCGGGGCCCCCACCAGGGAGCTGAGTTGGGGTCAGCAGTGGGGTGGGGGGTGCTCCAGTCCTTCTCACCTTCTGGCCCTGCATGTTCCAGGTGGCCACAAACACGGCCACAGTCCGGTCTGGGAAGTAGCGGGCCAGTTCATCTGCCCCCAGCAGGGCCCCGCTGGCCAGGAGGCTGCCCTCCAGGTAGCTCCTGCAAAGGGAAGCGATGGGACTCAGGGCCGAGGCGGGGCCTGTGCAGGACACATCCCTGGGGTCTCACCCCCCAGCAGCTCGGGCCACGCAGCCACAGCAAACCTCACGGAATGTTGGGGGCTCCCCATCCCGAAGACCCCATGGCTCCCGTGCCAGGCGCAGTACTGCGCTGTCTGCTCTCCAGGAAAGCAAGCCCTGCTCCCGGCCACACAAACGCCCAAGCAGATCCACCCTTTTTTTAGTTGGAATCTCACTGTTGCCCAGGCGGGAGGACAGTGCATGATTACACCTCACCTCGGCCTCAACTCACTAGGCTCAGGCCATCCTTCCGCCTCAGCCTTCCAAGTAGCTGGGACTACACCTGGCTTTTTAAAACGTATTTATTGTAGAGACGAAGTCACTAGCCTTGAACCCCTGGGCTAAGGCAATCCTCTTGCCTCAGCCTCCCAAAGTACAGATCCACACTTTCTCCAACTGTCTCCAGGGAGAAGAGACGTGAAGGTGACATTTGGGGCTTCTTGATGGTGAGGTCCTGGGGAAGGTCACGTGCAGGTGGAAGCTCCCACTGCACACAGGTGGGACAGTCTAGGACAGGTCATAAACTCCGCACACCGATATGCTTATCTCCCAGCACCCCATGGTTCACTGCATTTTCAGGCGTTAACAGTGAGGCATGTACCTAAACACACCTAGTCACGCTGCAGTCTCTGACCCAAAGCAACAAGCCCCTGCATTATCTCGCCCAGGCTCAGGACACACTCCATGCTCTCCTGCCACCAGGTCTGGCAAACTTGTTCCGTGCAGAGCCAATAGCATGGGTTTCCAGCTTCTTGGGCCATCTAGTGTCCATCACCACCACTCAGTTCTGCCGCTGGAGCACAAAAAGCCACCAGACGGTATGGACAGTGGGGGCACGCGGTATGCCAATAAAACTTTATTTAGATCATGCAGAGCTCTGAAGTGCGTGTGATTCTCTCATACTAGGAAATGTTATTAGAATTGTTGTGCTTTTTTCCAACCATTTGGAAACGTAAAACCCGTTCTTAGTAGCGACGAGACAGAAACAGGCAGTTGGCGGATTTGCCACCTGTGCCCAGTTCCCTTTTGAGACAGGTCCAAGCTGTTCCTTCCTGTCAAAGCGCCTGACACCATTTCCTTCAGTGAGGGGAGGTGAGCGTGCCTCTCAAGTCCAGTCCCCACTGGCCTGCCCAGGGGCTCACTCGCCTCAGGGGTTTTCTCAACGGCTCTGCGGAGGCCCCTCTTCCTCCTGGAAGCCCTCCTTCCACACCCTGTTCCAGCCTGACTATCCATGGCCCTGCACCCATGGATGAGGCTGGGCTGTTCCCGGAATCAGGACCCAGGTCTCAGTGACATCCACACTGGCTTCACCTCCCGTGTAATGTTTACAACAGGCCTGTCTCCCAGGCCATCCACTTGGGGAAACTGTCACCTGTCCTGTGCAGCCCCGCCCCCACAGCCTCCATTACCCAGTACGTGTTCACAGATGCCTTCACATTTCCAGGTGAGGTGTCCTGAAGTGGCAGCACTGGGTGCGCCCGACAGGCACTGCGCCTGCCTGTCCTGTCCCAATGACACTATGTGGATGGCATCGGCCTGACCGATCCACCAGGACCCCTGTTTCCGCCATTCCTCTGGTCTCCAAAGTCCCGAGGGCGTGGGAGCCATCTGTCTAGACACTCGCTCTCTTGTGTCGTGGACACAGCAGGCTCCCGACTCTCCTCAGGTATGCCACCTGCTTCTCCCAAGGTTGCTCTCGCCTGATTATCTTGGCTGCGATGTGATGAGGCTGCACTTTGGATGACAGGTGGGCAGGTCGAATGCCCAGATGTGGACGGCTTATCCCTGGGTGGACTGATACAGCTCGCTAACGCCCTGTCCTCTGCCAGAGACTGACCTTACCCCTGCTGGGCCTCCACCTGGGCCTCCATTACTTCTCCCCTGCCTGCTGCCCTCCACCTTCCAGAGAAGAGCGGACTCCCTCAGCTCCGAGACCCTACTTCCGGCCCTTCCATCCGTGTCTGTGTTTCTGTGTGTATTTATTTGTACCATGACTGCCGTTTTACAGAGGTCTCAAGGGGCAGGAACATATGGTGAGTCTAATGTCAGCTGACAGAAACCCCCGAGTGTTTTTCAAACCTCTGACTTCCTCTTGCTTGAGCCCAGGAATTTGAGAGCAGCCTGGGTAACACAGCTAGAACTTACCTCTACAAAAAAAAATCAAAAAATTAGCTGGGCACAGGGCTTATGCCTTTAATTCCAGCACTTTGGGAGGCCGAGACAGGAGGATCTCTTGGAGTCCAGGAGTCTGAGACTGGCCTGGGCAACATAGCAAGATCTCACCTCTACAAAAAACTTAAAAATGAGCTGGGCATGGTGGCATATACCTGTAGTCCCAGCTGCTTGGGATGCTGAGGGAGGATCACCTGAGCCCAGGAGGTGGAGGTGGCAGTAAGCCATGATTGTGCTACTGCATTCAGCCTGGGCAACAGAGTGATACCTGACTCAAAAAAAAAAAAAAAAGCTTTCTGGTCAATTTGCTCCGCGCTGGATGGAACGTGATTATACAGCGACAGGGCCAAGGCACAGTCTTCACAGCCAGCCATGGGCAGAGTCCCCTGAGACCCTGCCCAGGACCAGAACACGACAGATCGTCTCACGAACATGTCCAGCTAGCTGCTCTCTGAGAAGGAGTCTATGGGAAAAGGCTCCATGTCCCCACAACGGGCATCTCATTCTGGAAAAGGGGTCGACAAACTGGCCAAGGCCAGATCCAGTCTGTTGGACAGTGGCCTACAAGCTGAGAATGGATGGTTTTTACACGCCAAAAGTTTGAAAAAGAAAAAAAGCATAGTACTTCCTGACCCATGAAAATTAGACAAAATTCAAATTTATGTACCAACATAAAGTTTTATTGACATGGCTGCTCCTTCCCACAGGGCCTTCCAGCCCACAAAGCTGAAAAAACTGGTCATTTATGGGGTCTCACCATGTGGCCCGGCTGGTCTCGAGCTCCTGGGTTCAGGCAGTCCTCCCACCTCAGACTCTCGGGTAGCTGGGAGTATGCCCGGCTAAGAAATGGGGAGTTTTCAGGCAGCAGAAATGCATTAGGGAACCCCTCATCAACCCACAGCTTCCTGGCCGCCTGAAAACTCAGGATCCAATTTTGAAACATGAAGTCAACTGCATATCATTTATTTTTATTTATTTATTTTTGAGTTGGAGTCTCGCTCTGTCATCCAGGCTGAAGTGCAGTGGCATGCTCCTGACCACCGCAGCCTCAGCCTGCTGGGCTCAGGCGATCCTTCTGCCTCAGCCTTCCAAGGAGCTGGAACCACAGGCACGCGCCACCACGCCTGGCTAATTTTTTTTTAAAATTTGTTATAGAGATGAGGTCTGGCCATGTTGCCCAGGCTGGTTTCAAACCCGTGGGCTCAGGCAATTCTCTTGCCTCCACCTCCCAAAGTGCTGGGATTACAGGTGTGAGCCACTGTGCCTGGCATAACTTTAAAAATAATACTTGAAATGCTTTAAGAAATCTCCCTCTTTACAAGAAACTCGGTGGTGAATTATTTTAACGAAGAAGACGGTGTCCTACATATGGTTCCACATGCTTGATTCAAGGGTGAGGGAGTGAATGTGAGGGGGAAGCAGAGGGGCAGTGAGGGCATGCCATGGGGGCGACCCTCACTCCAGGCGAGGGACAGGAGGGCCTGTGGGTGCATGAACTGCAGTGGCCTAAACGTAACCTCCACGTCACGCCCGGCTTCTGACCCCCAAAACCTCCGCATGGGGCTTGATTTGCACATAAGGTCTTTACAGATGGACTTAGTTAAGGATCTTGAGACACACTAGGCTAGATTAAGGTGGGTTCTAGATGCGATGACTGGGGTCCTTATGAGAGACACAGAGAGACATGGAAGAGGCCATGTGGACAGAGCAGAGAATGGAGTGATTCTGCCACAAGACAAGGAGTGTCTGGGCCACCAGGGCTGGCAGAGGCAGGAAGGACCCTCTGGAGGATCCAGAGGGGGAGGGGCCCTGGCACACCCTAAACTTGG